CTTAATGAAGTGACCAATCACACAGACTTCATGAAACATGAATGCATTATGTCTGTGCTCTGGTTGGAAGCCTTACAACAGCTAGTCTAATGGCACGCATCTAAATCACATTTCACACTTTCTCCTCCCGAGACTTCTAACGAAATAACAAAGTTACCAGGCAGTCGAGTTGGGACACTGGGCTCTTGCTGCCTGGCTGGCTGATGTCCCAGATCTTGACACAACCCTTGCCACCGGTATAGACGTGACGTGTGGGATTGCTGATGGTGACGGCGCACACCACTTCCCCGTGGCTGAGTGTGTTGATCTGGCGAGCGTGCCGTGGGATGCCTGGCCCTATCAGTGCATCTGGAGGGAAGGGCACGGGCTGCATCTGACCATCTGCACTTACGTGAAAAGAATAGGCTCTGCAGAACAGAGAGGAATGGAAAAGCTCATCAGAAGTTCAAGCAATCCATTAAATGCAAATCTAGTTTAAACACAAAACCTAAATACTCACGGTTTTCCTCCAGAAATGGAAGTGAGGCTGGCTGGCAGCCCAGAGGCTCTCATGTGAGGATGTGGGTCGAAGCCCGCCTGCATGAACAAAACAGCGGAACAGTTAGCAAACAACCTGCAAAGATAAATCAGGCTAAGCTAACATTCGGATTGCAGCCTTGCTTTAGGTGCTTACGCCTCGGGGAACCCTTGTACCATTGTTTCCAGGCAAATCCCTTGAAAGGCACAGACTGAGCTTCACTGCATACAGCGGAGCTTTGCACAAGGCTATAACATCCCACATGCTAATGCTAATGAAGGCCTCAGAGATTTTCAAACATGGAGATGCATTTGAGGCCAAGATTTATGTATTTTTCTCTAGTCTTTAGAATGCTAACTAGCCAACATCAAAGTAAAGGAGCTGGGCCGTCTTTCTACTTTCTCATTATGTACACACAACAAGCTGCAGCCAGCCAAGCAGAAATATTCACAATGAGTTATGGAAATGCAGAAGGAATGCTCAAGTTTCTCAAAGTCATTTTGCAAACACAACCTACTGTAGCGGCGGATAATAAATACAGCTGTTC